GACCAGTCTACCTCCAAATCCTATGATTCTGCCCCTAGGATATCTCATCTCCTCAGCCTCCACTTCCATTCCCCTTGGGCTTCCCAGGTGATGCAGTAGTAAAGAACCAACCAGCAATGCAGGAGATGCAAGTCTGATCCCTGAATGGGGAAGATCCCCTGGAGGAGGAAATGGCAACCCACTCCAGGATCCATGTCTGGAAGATTCCAAGGACAGGGGAGCCTGGTGCGCTACAGTCCATGGGGTTGCAAAAAGTCAGACACAACTAAGTGGCTGAGCACATAAGCACGCTATCACCTTTCATCAGCCAACTGACATCTCCTGCTTGGATGACAGCTGTGGTCTCCCCACTGGGGCCTCCCTGCACCCACTCCTATGTTCCGTCCTCATGTAACTCGCTAGTCAACAGGCCACCTGGGGCTACCCCTGTTCTTACCTATGTTCACCTTTAGGCTAAGCTGAGCAACTGTCTTATCTTTCCAGAACAATACAAAGCCAGCTCTAATCAAAATCATTAACAGAACACACCGAGGAAACCAGATCTGAAAGAGACACGTGCACCCCAATGTTCATCGCAGCACTGTTTATAATAGCCAGGACATGGAAGCAACCTAGATGCCCATCAGCAGACGAATGGATGAGGAAGCTGTGGTACATATACACCATGGAATATTACTCAGCCATTAAAAAGAATTCATTTGAATCAGTTCTAATGAGATGGATGAAACTGGAGCCCATTATACAGAGCGAAGTAAGCCAGAAAGATAAAGACCATTACAGTATACTAACACATATATATGGAATTTAGAAAGATGGTAACGATAACCCTATGTGCAAAACAGAAAAAGAGACTCCTATGTATAGAACAGACTTGTGGACTCTGGGAGAAGGCGAGGGTGGGATGTTTCAAGAGAACAGCATTGAAACACGTATATTATCTAGGGTGAAACAGTTCACCAGCCCAGGTTGGGTGCATGAGACAAGTGCTCGGGCCTGGTGCACTGGGAAGACCCAGAGGGATTGGGAGAGGGGGGTGGGAGGGGGGACCGGGATGGGGAATACATGTAAAAAAAAAAAAAAAAAAGATACACTATGGTTGTGATAAAAAAAATAATAAATAAAAAAAAAATCATTAACAGAGAATGCAGACTTTTTTAAGGCCTTTATTTGTTACAATATTGTTTCTGTTTTATGTTTTGGTCTTTAGGCCACAAGCATGTGGGATCTTAGCTCCCGGACCAGAGATCAAACCTGCACCCCTTGCGCTGGAAGGCGAAGTCTCAACCATTGGACCACCAGGGAAGTCCTGAGAATGCAGATTTTTAATGAAGTCACAGGAGGGGGCTTACACTGCAATTACACAACAACACTTCCTACACTGACCCCTTAATTATTTCTCCTCTTTCCCCAAGTTCTCCTATAATGGTTACTGTTGCCACATCTCTCCCTGACATCCTTTCCTTTCCCTACTATCCTGCAGCTGCCCTCCATTCAAATTAGCTCTTAGTCTCCTCCCCTACTGTTTATTTTCCATCTGTTGGGCTGCCATTTCCTTCTGAGAAGGTCTCATCCCAACATAACTCCTTAAAACCCTTTAATGGCTACTCACTGCCCTCAGTAGAGTCCAAACTCCATAAAATGGTCTACTAGGCCTTGCAGGCCCCCAGACCTAGCTCCTTCACCCCTGCCTTTTTCCTACTTGAACTCTTTGCCCCAGCCATACTGTAGGGCGATGGGGGGGTTGCCCCTATTCTGCCATAATCTCATGATCTGGGCAATCGACCACACTGTTCCTTTTGTCTAAAAAACCTTCTCCTTCTTCCCTATGGTTAACTCCTACTGTCCCTTAGGCTCAACCTAAACATCTCCTGGAAGCCTTTCTTATCATCTCTAACACCGCATTAGGTAGTCTCATGGCAGTTTACCCTCATCACAGCTGTGCTCTAAATGACTGATTAGCAACAGGTCAGAGTGATTATTACTGCATGCAAACAGGGCCTAAATTACAGCATGCCCTTGATAATGCTGAGTAACTAGATGAGCAAAAGCTCAAAAGGGTGTCCCCGCCTAGTGTCTGTGGCCTTGGTAGAGAATGGAGCCCAGGGGCCCCTTAAGCATTAGACCATAATTTTGGCTTCACTTGGGTGAAGCCCAAGTTCACTTGCAAACGTTAGTACCTGGGCTCACAGAAACAAAATCCACCTTTGGGGTTCCCTCTTAGCAATTTAACTGTCTTCTTCCTAATCCAGAAAGGCTGTACTGGTCACAGCCCATATCTGGGCACATTTTCAATGTTAGGTATGAACGCCTTTGGTAATCGCAAGCTGCAAAACTTTGCACAATACAAGTTGAATCATTACTATTTATACCTAGAGTCTTATTAGGTCACTTAGCTGACTCCATGTCTCTCTCTCCAGGAGACTACCCAACTGTCTCCACCAACATGTTCCAGGCCACACCATGTAGGAGCGGTAGGCCTCAGAGAGCGGTGTTAATACAAACTAAGCACACCCCTCAAATGAGGCCGCCTCTGGAGTTAAGGATGCCTTTAGGGTACATAAGCTCCTATATACTCTGGCCAGGGCTCTTTCCTGCTTGCTTTCTGAAGGGCAGCAAAGAACATCTAGAAGCTTTACATAATCCAGAATACAACAAATGGTTCTGATTGTTTTATTTTAGAAATAATTTATTGTTTTATTCCAGCTATGAAAGTAGTACATGCCAATTACAGACAATAAACACGAAAAAGCACAAATAAAAATACAGAAACCACTTGCATCAAGAGATATCTCCACAAACATTTGGGAGGTTAGCAATGAAAAAAAAAAGATGCATTCTCTTGCACAGAACTGAACAATATTGCATAACATTTTATTTCCATTTTTACCCCTAGAATATAAAAATAAAACAGTTGCAGTAACAATCTTCAACTTTATAGAAATGTATGACATCTAAATTGAAAGTTCTCACATCTGCATTTTTTAGAGACAATTAGTGTCAACCAGTTTAATAGATTCCTTCAGAATATATAGTTATATGTGTACATGTGCACCATTTTAATTTTAACTAAATTAGCATGACCTTAATATCCGTCAAAACATCAGTTAATACTTGTGTAACATTCAATATTATTGACCAAACCACCTCCTTATTATCAGGAGTTTAATTTTTTAATTGCACAGAATGCAATGAACGTACAAAATTTGTGAGGATTTCTTACGTTCTTGTGATAAAATCCTACAGGTGGAATTACTGGGTCAAGAGGTATATGATCAAAACTTAACATATAACATCAATCTGACTTCCAAAAAGCTATACACTCAGTAGTTATATGTGGATGTTTGATTTTTTTGTTTGATTGTAAAAGATTCAGAGGTGGTATAACTACAAATCAGCTACATTCAAGCTAAATGTTTGGTTTTATTCTCTCTCTATTGCTATGCATTAATGGAGCTTGCTTTTGTTTCATAACTCCCTGCAACATTATGAAAGTTTTTAAGTACAGAGAAACGTTGAAAGAATGGTACAGTGAACACACTGAACGCATACACCATCTATATTCTACAGTTAACATTCTACTGCATTTGCTTTCTCATATATCTACTCATCCATCAATCCAGGCAGCTTGAAGGATCTTAGTTCCCTGATCAGGGACCAGGGACAGAACCCAGATCCCAGCAGTGGAAGTGGGGCGTCCTAACCGCTGGATCTCCAGCAAATTCCCCAGAGGTTTCATTTTTAACATGAAAAACCTTTTTTGATCAAGACTCATTCTTGCAGCATCCCCAGGTTCAATGCTCTGCACTAGGGAACATAAGCGTGGAAACGTTCCAAGATGAGAATCTGAGTTCCCCAACTTCTTCTTTTTTTTTTTTTTTTGATTAGATTCCAGCTTGTATTATTCCTGATTATTTTACATTTACATGGTTTATTGAGTTCCCCAACTTCTGAAGGACTCGCCGCATAGGCTGGAAGTATGGCTTTGGGTTCTAATCCTGACCCACTGTGATACCTCCGTTTTCGCCCCTTAAGTATTGGAATCCCTCCAAATCGTGTATTAAAAGCACAAGTCGCAAAAAAAAATAAAAAATAAAAGCACAAGTCGCACCCTATAATGACACTGGCTATAGTTATGATTCTTTGTTCCCCCCCTTTTTCTGGCCGCACCGCGAGGCTCGCAGGATCTTAGTTCCCAGTCCAGGGATTGAACCCGTGACCCTGCAGTGGAAGCGCGCGCCAGGGAATTCCCAGTTCTGATTCTTTTACTCCCTCTTGGTCTCTGATAAACTTCATGTCCAAGCTACGGTGGCCAGTTCAGGCCTCTTTGCACTCATTTTAGTCCATCTTACACTCTTAGTTCTAAGCGACTGTAAAACAGGGATTGAGTGGCCCAGGGGACTACAAACCTGAGGCTGAGGGCCGCGACGGCCCCGCTCAATCTAGCGGTCGCGGGCTCCTCCGGGCCGCTGCGGGGTCAGCCTGCAGCCCCAGCCGACTCCCTCCCTCCAGCGCCCCGCACAAGGAGTGACGGCCCGGGGGACCCACCCTGGGCGCTACACCCGCGTCTACCTCAGCAAATGCTCACAAAAGCCTGTGAGATAGGCAGCGCTACAGAGGGAGAAAATCGAGGCCCAAGGAGCCTGAGTCACTTGCCCAAGTCGACAAGCTGGGGAGTGGGACTTCGCCTCAGGAACTGACTCCAAATCGCCGGACTCTAGAATCTCCCTCCGTCGTCTCTCCGCGGGGCCCTGAGCGCCTACAGGGGGCGCACGCGCACGCTCAGTCGTCGCAGCCGCGTCCCCTTTAAGAGGATTCCTTTTTGCCTCTTCCCGACCGCTCCGCTTCCGCTCTCGTTCCCACAATGCTGTGCGGCTGAGCGCCTCCAAGCCCGCGGGGACGCTGTGGGGGGATCACCGGCTGAGGCGGCGGCGGCGGCGGCGGCGGCGGCGGCGGCGGCGGCGACGTGGGCTGCGGCGGGCCCGCGGCGTCGGGCGGTGCGGATGTCGGGCTGGGCGGACGAGCGCGGCGGCGAGGGCGACGGGCGCATCTACGTGGGGAACCTTCCGAGCGACGTGCGCGAGAAGGATCTGGAGGACCTGTTCTACAAGTACGGCCGCATCAGCGAGATCGAGCTCAAGAATCGGCACGGCCTCGTGCCCTTCGCCTTCGTGCGCTTCGAGGACCCCCGGTGAGGGCCCCGCGCCGCCCGCCCTCCTGCCCGTCAGTCAGTCGGCCTGAGGCCCCGGGCCCCCCGCCTTCCCTTTCTCTCCCTTCGCTTCCAGGGCCTCCCCTCCCCCCCCTCACCGCAGACCCCTCAGGGCGCCCCCGGGTGGAGGCTGAGGCCGCCTCTCACCGTGGGGCTCCAGGCAGTCCTTTGCTCCGTCACTTCCTCTATTACTATTTTTTTGACTTAAAAACAAAAGCCGGGTCTGAGGAGGGCTCAAGCCCGCCCAGATCAGCCTCGGGGGCTGGTACCCAGGCACCCTTCGGGGGAAGCGGCCCAGAGCTTGGGAAGCTTGGCCCCTGAGGCGGCCCGGAAAGGACTCGGTGAGGAGTGAGGAGACCGGTTGTCCGCTCTACCCTCCTCTCCCCTCCGCTGGAACTCGCTGTTGTCGGGGCGCACTGTGCAGGGCGATATGGATGCCTTTGCAGGGCCAAAGCGGGCTGGCTCTTGGATGGACCGGATTTCCATCCACGCGCGCCCCGCCCCGCAGGGGCCAGAGACTTGCTCTGATAAAAGCATCAGGGATTTGGGGAGACTTATAAAATAGTCTGATGGGGTCTCGGATTTCACTCTTTCTTCACTGATAAGGGGAGGCACCGCTAGATGATAAAGGTCTCCGAGGGTTTGGACGCGCTCGATCGGAAACGGGCTCGAAGGAGTCTTTGTGATTTTGCAGTGTCGGCCCTTGTCTCCCAGAAAAGGCCTGGGAACTTTCAAAACTGCGGTTGTTGGTTCTTAGAAGCCACCGCACTGTGCTGGCTACTACGCTTGGGGTGAATCGGAGCTTGCGCTCTGGTTTCCACCTTTGGCTCGGGGAGCGCTTTGCCTAGTCTGCGCCCTGCGGGCCTCGCTACGAGGATTGCCCGGGGGATGTCTTGCCCATCTTGGGGGATGGGGGCGGTTGATGCGAGGCAAGGGGAGAGTCCGAGGATGGGGAGGAAGGACGCACCCCAAGGCTTCGATGGCTGAAGATTCTGACAGAAATCGTTCCTAGTATCTGCCATTTGCCTCACAAATGGAACTAGGCATTTCCACACCTAAACTGGAAAAGGTTGGACCTCTAAGAATTAGTACCGGTGTTTTTGGGTTTTTTTTTTTTTAACAGTTGCTGTTTGTCATAGTCTATACTATATATTAGAATATACTATATATCACTAAGCATTTTCAACAGCCTACAAGGTCGGCTCTGTTACTTTTGACATATGAGTAAACAGGATAAGAGTTGATAAAAGGGAGGGCTCCCAGGGAAGGTAGGATTTGAACCCCCTGTTCCACCCTTTCCAACACAAATTTACTGTGTGATGTGCTACATTGTCTTTTTTTCTGCTCCTTCCTTCCGTAATGGAAAAGCTATCTCTTGAATACATTAGTGCCAAGTTTCAAGCAAAGCACTGCATACATAGTTATCTTATTTAATCCTTTCAAAACTGGCATTTTACATTTAGATGTAAAATCCTGATCGCAGAATTACCCAGAGACAACTACTAGTAAGTAGCAGAATGATTTGAACTGAGGTCAATTTTTATTCACAACGTTAAACCCTAGCAGTGCTGCCTCTCTCCCACTGTATTCTGAATATAGCCAGGGTTGAACTGGATGTGGTCCTCCTTGCTTTTGATCCTGGACCTAGAATCTTCATAAGCGATTATGGGCCTCTGACATCTGAATGATGCTTTCATTAGTATGTCTTCAGCTGTTTGTACCCCCAGCCTCAGGGCATTCTCTTTCCTATCAAATCATGGAGAGCCATCTTGGTGTTCCTCACAGAACCCTAGGAAAGACTTTTAAAAAAAGTATTACTCTATTGAATATTTATCTCTTTTTGGCAAAACTGTACCCAGAGAGTGGTTTTGACAACTTAGTTCTCAAAGCCATGCTGAAAAGGTGCACTTGAGGGAATTCCGTATTCCTCACAAAACACTAATATTCGTTTGTCATTTGAGCCTTCCCTATTTTTAAACGAGTTTTTCCTTCTTTAGACCTGAATGTACTAGGCCTTGAGGAAGAATATTAAAGGACTAGTGTGTGGTGTGCATTTTGAGAAACAGCTCCCCAAGGTCAAAGAAACACTGTTCTTTGGCAAAATCAATCATCTGCCAACAGTTTATTTTTTCTGAATTCTCTTACCTGTTTATTCATTATCATTTCATACCTGGAAAACCCTGTATGTGACAGCTGTAAAGTTTAATTCCAGTGTCATGAAAAATCTTCAAACCAAAGCAGTAGTACATCAAATTCCTGGTTTTTGTTCTTTTGCTTTTTTCTCACTTCAGGGTTTTTTTTTTTTTTATACTTGTTACTCATGCCTCTCACAGGGATATCAGTTGGTTCTCCTGAGCAACACTAACTCCAGACTTTTCTCTGCAGAGATGCTGAGGATGCAATTTATGGAAGGAATGGTTACGATTATGGCCAGTGTCGGCTTCGTGTGGAGTTCCCCAGGACTTATGGAGGTCGGGGTGGGTGGCCCCGTGGTGGGAGGAGTGGGCCTCCTACAAGAAGATCTGATTTCCGAGTTCTTGTTTCAGGTATGTTCCTTTCAAACTCAGTGAGATGATGCATGTGAAATACTTAGCACAGAGTCTGGCCTCCAAGAAATGTTAGCTGTTGTTTTTCAGTGCTTAGGATGTGTGGGGTTTTCTTCTCATGCACAGTCACAGTCTGAAGCCTTGCCAGTGAGGCAGGTACATTGCCAAAGAAATTGCACTGATGGTGCAACCTTGATAGAACATAAACTTGCTTCTTATGAAAAAGGACTTTTCTAGTGTTGAAAGAGAAGATGATGCCCAAACCTCTTCAGCCAGAATTCTAAAGACATTTTCTTCTGGAAATGAACCTTGGCATCTGACTTGCTAGAAAGACATTCCAGAAGCCAGATTTGAACAAATTATACCTAGCCTTAGATCCTAAAATAGGCCAGATTTTGTGACTGTTTTGGAATTATGTAAAAAAGAAATCAAACAACAACTTGGAGTCTTAGGGATCGTATTGCAAAGGACAGAACAAAATGTCTAGTGTTGACAAGTGATGAGATGCTAAGCTCAGAGGTTTATGCATTTTTTGGAAATATTAACACACTGGTAAAAAACTGGGGCCTTCTGCAGGTTGTTAGGGGTGTTTTAGGCCCCTGGCAGAGTGAGATATATTGAGGAACCTGGCACCTTAGATGTGAATTGTCACACAGTTGCAGCAGACTCCTGTGGTGCTGAAGAGGGATACTGTCAGTATCTGCCTGTGTCCCTTTGTAAGTTTTTAACCCCAGAACTCTATTCCCTCCTTCAGGATGTCATACATATCTTTTTTTCTCTCCATGCTGCTCTGAAATCCTGCTTAGAAAACTATTAGGAAATGGCTGCAATCCTGAGCTGTGAGCGGTAAACACAGCCTTTGAGAGCAGGAGCACATTTCCCTTTCATGACATCAGGTAGGGTTGTATGACTCCCGACTAGTTTTAGCGTCTGAGTCTTACCTTTCCCCCTACTGTATTGAAGAGTGTTGGTGATCTTTTAAGAGGTATTTTGTCTAGTTTGTCAGTCATTCCCACCTACAAGAAAACAAACTTTAGGTTTTTCTTGTGTTACTTCATCTACACCTTGGTTATTTTATTGGATGGTTTAAAAATTCCCATGTCAAAAAAAAAAAAAATTCCCATGTCCTGCGAACCCAGTCAGACAAGAAATAATTGGTACCAATAAATTTCATAATGGAAAAATTTAGAACTCAAAGTCTTGGGATTTTGTTATTAATTGTGAAGGCCAGAGAAAGAGATGCTTTGAATTCTTAGAGATACTAAATCTGTAATGGGATGGACTTTTGCTGTGTCAAGAAAGGCTTAGTCTCTGGAAGAGTAGCCTAGGACCAGCTTCTTAATGGTGGTTTATCACCGATACTTTATTAGTGTTCTTCTTTGGTTTTGTGTCCCTTGTCAAAATTTGTGCTTTGGGGACCATCAGGATTTAAGAGTAGTGACTAATGGGGAAAGGACCCTAGGTCTTGGGGCTCTTAACATGGATGAAGGATGTGGCCTCTTCTCTGTGTTCTATGCGCCTAGGACTTCCTCCATCAGGCAGCTGGCAGGACCTGAAAGATCACATGCGAGAAGCTGGGGATGTCTGTTACGCAGATGTGCAGAAAGATGGAATGGGGATGGTTGAGTATCTCAGAAAAGAAGACATGGAATATGCCCTGCGTAAACTGGATGAAACCAAATTCCGCTCTCATGAGGTGAGTCCCCACCTGTTGAGGAGCTCGTTCCCAGACCACTCCACCTGAAGCTGACCTAGCAGAAGTAGCAACAGGCCATGTGTTTGCCATTTGATGACCTTATAATACCATTAAAGATCTGTCTTAAGTGGACAAAGCCACAGAATTCCTTATGCCCCAGCAATGCAGGGTCATAGCAGAGAGAAGTCTGCAGCCATATTTTTAACCCAGAGAGAATACTGGTGTAGTCTGTCATGTGGTGACTGACTTAAACCACAGTGTCCCTCCATGAACCTAAAATTATGTCTCTCCCTCCTCTGGGTCTGGTCTGGGTTCTGCAAGCCAGCCTTATCACCTTACCCTCTTAGGTACTGCTGTTGGGGCTGGTTGTCACTTCACTTTGCCTTACCCAAAGTGGTGCAGAAGCCTCTTTGAAACCTGAGCCCTTGGCTCAGGTTTTCTTGTTCATCATCTCACCCTGGGGACTTAGCTTTCCATGTTCTTCCCTTCAAGTAGGTGGCTGCTGTTTTGGACCTCAGTCTGATTTCTCATGGTAGCTATTCCTTTGATAACACAGAGACCAGACCACCAATTGGACTTTTTTTTCCTGGTTACACTGTCCTGGCTTGCTATGCGGTTTAGGGATGTTTGGAAACATCAACTTCAGGGCCCATTTCTTTTTTTTTTTCCATTTCTTTTTCTAAGGATTCACTTCCCTAACTTTATGGCTCGGAGGCTGCATGCCTTAACAGTGCTGTTGCTCAGGTTATCCTCTAGGACTTGAATTTGGAGCAGAAACAAAACAGCACCTGTTCCTCAGTTATACAGAGCGGGGCCTTGGTTAGGATAAATCAAATTATTGAGTTCACTGAGGGGAAAAAGCATCTGGCTTCTTTCCTCTTAGCATCTTTAAATCTGAGAATGCTAGCTGAGGGTGAAAAGCCTGGAGATAGGCCTGCCTGGACACAACTCCTCTGCTGCTTATTAAAATCTTAGCTGAGCAACTTCGAACCCTGGTTCCTGTATATGCAAATAGTTCCCAATAATAGCATTATCTTATAAGACTTGTCAGGAAGCTAAATTATGAAGCATCTTGCCCAGGTCCTGACACCTGGGAGGTGCTGAATACTGGTCAGCTTCTTCCATAGGTACCCACCAGAAAAGGTGGCAGGGGATTGAACCATATATCTGACCTCTGAGAGCCTTTCCAGTTCTTAGATTATGGGGGTCAGTGGTAGTAATTTAGGTTTGTTAACAGTAGTAGCCAGTATTTGAGTTATTTACCACATAATCGAGTTGCCATTTATTATTTGTGTTACCTTGAGCAAGAATACCTGCCTGTGGCACTATTGTGCCAAACGGTGCTCAACACTACATTATTGTTAGGCGGCCATATTAGGTGTTGGTGTGCTTTATTCCTCTAGGTCTTATTTTTTCCTTTACTTTTTTGTTTGATTTTTAGGGTGAAACATCCTACATCCGAGTTTATCCAGAGAGAAGCACCAGCTATGGCTACTCACGGTCTCGGTCTGGGTCGAGGGGCCGTGACTCTCCATACCAAAGCAGGGGTTCCCCACACTACTTTTCTCCTTTCAGACCCTACTGAGACAGGTGGTGGGAATTTTTTCTTTATTTTTTAGGTGAACTGAGCTGCTTTGTGCTCAGAGTCTACATTCCAGATTGATGATTTAGTGTCTTAGGAGATTTTTTTAATTTTTTTTTTTTAATGGAAATAAAACTACATAATTTCTACCAGGGCCATATTAGCAGTGAAACATTTTTAACTGCAGAAATTGTGGTTTTGGTTCAGAAACGAGTTGTATATTTTTCACCCCGATGATGGGAAAAAAATCAGTGCTGTATCCTTGTGGGTTGCTCTTCTATGGAGATCAGCAGTTACTGTGACCGAGTCGGCCCATTCTGTTTAGAAATATATTTTAAACGTTTAATAACTGACAGCTGTAGTTGTCTTTGATTGTGTTCATGGATTTCACCAACAGGCACACTGATGTGTTTAAAAAAAAAAACAAAAAACATTGAGTTGCAGTGGCAACTTGTGCCCAATTGGTTAACAAACAGGAGTGGATTCCTTATTTGGGGATAAGGTTAGTTGCTCTGACGATGGTCTGGGAACATCACATCCAAGGGAAGTTTCAGGGTTCTCTTATAATTCAAGGCCAAACATGTACACTAAGCTGCTTTAATGAAAAGGGAAGCATTGCAGATAGGGGAAGGGAATGAGAAGGCTAAAAACAGCCTTGTAAAAGTGGGTGCCAGCATAAAGATCACTGGAAAATTCTTAACCAAACCCAACTTTAGCAGTTGGTTAGGGGAAAAAACTCATTTAAATTTTGTTTCTGTCACTTTATCACTCCTAAATTTGTCTCATATTTGTCCTTGGTATCTGAGCTATATAAAAAAAAGACAAAGCCCAAAACCAAAACCTCCCACTGTCTTGGATTTCGCTTAGTTCAGTAATCATAGGGCAGGGAGTGGGGGTAAGGGGGCTACATTGTCATAGGCTATTTTCTTAAACCACTTTATTGAAATATAGTCAACCTGTAAAAAGCTGTACTTTTTTACATTGAGCTATACAACTCAGTGAGTTTGGGGTGAAGTATGCACACATGAAATGACAACGGTGAAGGTCATAAACACCCATCACCTCCCCAGACTGCCTCCCCGCACCTTTACCATAGCAGAAAATCAGCACTCTCCTTGAAACACAGTGGATACCCAAGAATAAATTTAAGTATGTTTAGTAAAGATAAAAGGGTGCTCAGGTTGACGGAAACAGCAACTGAAAAGGTTGTCACGAAGTGATCGGATGCAAGGTCTGTAACAGTTACATAAATAGATTCACTTAAGTGCAGTTTGGTAGACAGTCTTTTAGGGAGGGATAAAGTCTTCCACACTGAATGGTCTATGAGTATCTATGAATATACTTGATCCATTTCCTTGGAAATCAGCCATACTTTCCACTTCCTGTTGGTATCAGGGACTGTGCCTTATTTTGGCTAGATATTTCCCAGTTCTATCTTCAGAATTAGTTACTAAAAGATTCCTAGCCATCACTTTTTTCAGGTGACTGAAGGAAGTGGTACATTAGTGTTCATAATAACAAAATAGTTGTTGCAAAGTAGTTGCTGCACTTCCACATGTTTATAGAATGCCCCTTCCCAGTTACTCAGTGATGTGAGAAGGGCTGTTTTTCATCCAGCTTTGACCATGAGATATTACCTGTTTGAAAAGATAAGAAAAAGGAATGTTATATTTAAGCCTCCTTCCCAGCTGGCTCTACATTGAGCTAACTGATTTGCCATGAAAAATAAGCAATGGAAGTAAGTGTAGCTATTACCCTGTTTTTCTGAGTATCTGAAAGAACCTCAGTTATAAGTGAAGCCTAATTAGTGCGCACTTTTCAATAAGTAGCAGAGACAGGCTAATCAGACATTTGTATGCATATAGGAGAGGAAGGAGAGACTATGTGAACTCAATTTTTCCCAAGAAGCAAAACCTGACACAAGGTCCTGTGTGAGAAACAGCATATATGATCAATGGCTATGTCTGCTCAAACAGTAACAACTATCAGAGATTAACACCCAAAGTTCTGGGTGTTATTATTGGCCCAGAGTTTTAAAATAGTTACAGTGAGGTTTAAAGATGCAAATCTCCACACTAGGGGTTGCAAACTGATGACTCACAGGATGCATCTGGCTTGCAGGTATGTTTTTTACTTTCATGGCATTTTACTTTTTTAAAATCTTCTATTAACACTTAAAATTTGGGAACCAGCGCACAGAATGCCAGATGTCCAGGTTCTCTGGGCTCCCATCCCTGCCTGGCCCCTGAATGAGAGAAGTAGCACATGCCAGCTATCCCTTTAAGGAGAGCTCCAGATCTGCCACAGCCTTCCCCACCCCAGTCCTGTTTTTGTTTTCTTCATTCCTGTTACCAGCTGACCCCTAGAGGTTAATGTGACTTCCAGAATCTGCCGCCACCTTGCCACCTGTACATAGAGCATTTTTGTTGTTACTCCCAGTTTTATTGAGATAACTGACATATAGTTGTATAAACTTAAGATGTGCAACACAATGATTTGATATATGTATATACTGCAAATTGATTCCCATAACAGGATTAGTTAACATCCAGCATCTCACTTAGTTACAGTTTCTTCTCTTGTGGTGAGAACTTTTTTAAGATCTACTCTTTAGCAACTTTCAAATATACAATACAGTATTGTTAACTAGAGTCACTATGCTGTATGTACATCACACATCCCCAGGACTTATTTAACTTATAACTAGAAGCCTATACCCTTGGACAGCCACCACTGCCACTTCATACTTGATCAGAGTGCTTTCACAGAGCAGATCTGGGCCTCGCAGTTCCTACAGCATTCTCAGTTTACTGTGGCACCGTTTGTTAAGCCATTTTGGGCAGCACGTACCTGGCGGGGCCACAAAATACTCCTCCACAACTCGGTGGGAGTTTTGCAGTAGTTCTTCAGCACAGCTGCCTTCTACCACATTGTCAGATCTCAAGTACAGACATCTACAAAACCCGAAGCTTGAGGTTAGCTTCTCAGAACGTGGCTTCAAAGGCATGGGTGGGAAGGGTCAAGGGTGGGAGGAGGAGAAGACAGCAGCATATTCTCGAGTTACAGTCACTGCTCAAAGATGGAAGTGCTATGGTCAACAGCAGATCAAATAACAGCCTACCGTTTGTTTACTGATTTCCCCAACAACCCTGTGAGATAAGTGGTATTAATAATTATTCCTCAGGATTGACAAGTTTTAATATTTTTGATGATTACTATGGGTAAAGTGCTTTTGGCAGAGATAGGCAATGACAATACAGTGTATTAAGTCTAATAAGAGGTAAGCGATGCTTGCCAAGGAAATTGATAAGGGGACCTTACCCAGCCTGAGGTCCTCAGAACAAGTGATGTCACCCCTTAACCATGGTCAAGAACTGGATTTCGGGGGTGGGGTGGGGGGGTGACTGGGTTGGGAAATGAGTAAGGTACAGAAACTCTCAACAGTGGTTATAAGTGACGTAAGCTGCTAAGGGACAGGATTGGGATCCGAGCCTGGTTCTGGTACCCCTAAGATGAGTGCTTTCTTCATCACAACCACCTTTGGATGTAAAAGTACCTTCCCTTGCAAGATGTACCACAAACACAGCCCAAGAATCTTACACTGTTTTCAGGACTTAGTGGCTTCATTAAGCTATCCAGATGGCAGACTAGTGAAACCAAACAGGAGCTGAACACATCTGTGGGGCTTTACTAGTGTTTTAAGGTTTGAAAGTGCACGACAAGAGGTATGAGATGGCTTCCAGATACTTGGGCTGAAAAGTAAGCAGTATGCTCAGTCACTAACAGGGCAGCAGCCAAGCTCTTTCTGCTCTGAACCAGACACAGACTGAGGGCTGAATGTAGTAGGGCAAGGATGTGACATGAACATCTGTAGAGGCTGTACAGAAGGCCAAGATGTAATCATAAGTTTCTTTTAGGAAAGGATTGGTTCTGTTGCTTTGGGGAACCCAGCCCAGAATGAGACACGATAAACACTTATTAATGGTACAAAGAGTTCAAAGCTGAACTCTATTCTAGGACTGGCACTGTCTTAACTGTGTGACCTTGGACAAGTATGATCTTTCTAGACCTTAAGTTTCTTGCCAAAAAAAGTGAAGGTTGCACTAGATTTTTTTTTTTAAACCATATAAGGCAACCCACTCCAGTATCCTTGCCTGGAAAAGTCCATGGACAGAGGAGCCTGGCGGCCTGCAGTCCATGGGGTTACATGACTGAGCATGTGTGCACGAGGGTGGAGGGAGATGGGTTGGTAGCAATAAAGTGGTAGAACTAAAAACAAAAAAAAACCATATAAGGAATATACACTGATACTCATTTAAGGAAACTTGGAGAACAGTAAAAATCATCTCTAAGGGTCACCATTGGACTTTTCTGGAGTTTATATTTCTGTTGGGCAATATAACAAAATGTGTAAGAGCTGGGGCCCCTGAATCACTGCAGAACTCAAACCCCAGAGCTGCACATGGCCTGTATGCAAGTTACTTATCCTTTCCATGTATCAGTTACCTTATTTCTAAAAAGGTTCAGAAAATTGCCGGAATGATGTTTAAAAAGGCCTGAGCCGAGGGGCAACTAAGCCCACGTGCTCTAGAACCCATGCTTCTCCACAAGTGAAGCTCGCACACCTCAAACAACACCCAGCACAGCCAGTAGAAAAAATTTCCCAGGTCCACTCATTTGGTAATTGGGTTTCCTAGTAAGGTTTCCTGAAGGATGAAATAAACCTCTTTAACTGTTACACATTTCTACCCAATTACTGTTTAAGATAGAGTTGTTTGTAGACTAAACCCACACCTGCCTATTTTCTGAACTATAGGCTACTGAACCCAGAGCCTCTGTGAGGGCGGCCCGCCAAGCAGACCCCTCGCCTGGCAAGTTGCTCAACTTTTCTCGACCCTGGAATCATGCATAAAGCGCCAGACAGGGCCAGACGAGCTCTTCAGGTGCCTGTCAATTATGAAGGTCTGCCTCACCTCATCTTTCTCAGTCAGGATTCTACACGAGAGTTTAGTCCAGAAACGTAGGATAACTTCTATGCATGTGGTCTAGTTGTTACTTATGTACCATTCTTGGAAGAACTGAAAAAGAGTCCATTGATCTTGCTGTGTTCTCAATCAGATGAAAAGCCCTGGTTGAGAAGAGTTTCAGTTGTGAGTTAGAAATCTCTGCCCTCTAAAGCTCATGGAAAAGGCACTTAAATCAGTAACTGTGGGCAATGCATTTAATTTCATGGAAAGCACTATGGCAGCATGATGGAAGAAGTGCCTCAGCTGGCCCTGGGGCTGACCAATTGGACAGTTCTGCTGTTGTTTTAGCTTCTTTCTGCCTCTTCCCAACTATCGGCTGCCAGGAGCTGTTTCTCTGGGCACCAGTCTACCTCCATCTGCAAGCCTTTTAATTTAGTTTCATGCCGATTGAAATGAGAGCTAATCGAAGTGGCAAATAAGACCCTGTGGGACACCTTAAGTATTCAAGTTATTTGACCACAATCAGAGATGCCATGTGAGTCAGTCTCTGGCTCTAAGACGAAAAAGAATAGTTTCTACGGGATGACTATTTTTTTATGGCTACCCCACACTCCTTGTGGAATCTTAGTTCTGGACCAGGGATCGAACCCATGACCCCTGCAGTAGAAGTGAAGCGTCTTAACCACTGAACCCCGGGGAAGTCCTGAGGCTAGCAAGCACTTAACACGAAGGTTACAGTTAACATATAAGTGTGGCTCTCCTGACTGGCACTGACTAATGGCAGCTTTCTCCCACTTCTACCAGGAATTTATTTTTAAAAATTCATGGAATTCATGAAAATTCAGGAAAAGGCTAGGACAGGGTTGTAGATTGCCCTTATCTTTATAAGTTGCATACCTCTCCTTCCCAAGAAGCTGCACTCCCAAATGGCAAACAAGTCTGCTTTGCAAAAAAGTGTTTCCTTTAAAAATGTATTTTAAAAAATAATTTAAAAAAAAATAATAAAAATGTATTAAGATTTGGCAACAACTGGTAGAGGTGGTTAGGGGCTGCACACTTTAAGTACAGTATACACAAGCTGCTTTGTCAAAGACCCAGCCTTCCAGGTTGCATTACACTACTTCACTATTTGGGTTATTACTCTGTCCCCTTAGGCATTCAAAGGTAAAACTTCCCTCTGCATTTCCACCTTCTCTAACACTAACCATGGTTAACAGTTTCTTGCATGCCCTTTCAGGGAACAAAACCTTAATACACACACCAGAGTATATAAAATAGATTACACATAAAGTATCAATGAAACCACATACCATATTCCGAACTTTGCCTTTTTTATTATTAATAAGTATACCCTGGAAACCTTGCCATATCAGCATATATAGTTATTTCATTATTTTTAACTGCCGTTTCAGTGTATGAAGATGTATTTAGCCATGAAGGACGCTTAGATTGTTTCTTTTCTGTTGTTCTGTATTATCAATAGATTTGCATTCCCTGAATGCTCGTGCACATATCTTGATGCACTGTCACAGATATATGTCACAGATAGGGAACCACTAGGTCAAAAAATGTGAAGAAAAAAAAAGTGTACATCTAAAAAATTTTTGAGACAGGAATCCAGGAGTAAGCAAATCAGATGTGAGCTCACGTTCTAATAACAAGAATTAGTACAAGTCAACAAAAATAAGATAATCAAGAAAAACAGTGGAAGAAAACCCGACAGGATAAGGAGGTAGTGACTGGAGGGAGTGGAGGGAGAATTTAGAGTGGTTTGGAGAGGCCAAAGAAATGAACTGTCCAACAAAAAGGAAAACAAGTTCAAGGACCTAGAGAAGCCACGAATCCGGCGTGTAGCAGAAACAGGCAGGAAGTCGTGGTCGGAGTGATGAGGTAGGGGGCGCTCTAGGAAGTTGGGCCTCGAAGGTGAAAGCTTAGCCGTTTGGATTTGGTTCCTAGTTACATTGGGAGGGCTCGAGGATTTTAAAAGGGAGAGGATCCTTAACGAACGAGGCAAAGAGCGAAAGAGCTTACCCGCAGGGTGACCGTGGGCAAGTTCTCGCGTGTCGCTAATGTTCTTTCCCCTCCGGTGGAATGAGACACTAAGCTCCAGCCTTAACTGGTAACGAAGGCGCCGCGGGCAAGCCTTCGAGGGCCGCGGCCGCGAGCTTACCTGTCCTCCAGGACTGATTCCATGGGCTCCACTCCGTCGGTGTTCACTGCGCGGAGTCGGTCGGCGAAGGCGATGGCTTTCTCCAGCCGGGCCACGGCCTCCTGGCTGCCGAAGTCCACCAGCGATAACCGCTCCAGGTGCTGGATCAGCTCGCCCGTGACCCGGCCACTTCCCTGGGGGGTGAATGAGGCGGAGGGTGTGGGTTACGGGTGGGACCTGCTCCGCCATCCGCCCCGCTCCAACACCCGCCTGGACGCCCCGGCCTCTACCTGAGAATCCGCCTTGGAGGTGAAGCCCCGGCGCCCGCGCGCCGCAGCCCGAAGACGCACGGCCCGCGCCCACATTTCGCTCCGTCTCGGCCTCCGTAGCGCATCCTCTCCTAAGGCCGCGCGACGCGCTTACAAGTGATGACATCCCAGAGCGCCGCCACCGCCTCGGACGCCGACGCCATGAACAGCGTAGGGGAGGCTTGCACCGACATGAAGCGCGAGTACGACCAGTGCTTCAACCGCTGGTTTGCCGAGAAGTTCCTCAAGGGGGACGGCTCCGGGGACCCATGCACCGACCTCTTCAAGCGCTACCAGCAGTGTGTTCAGGTGAGCGCCGACCCGGGCCCTCTCGTCTCTGCCCTGGGCCCCGGCTCGAGGGGGTTGGGACGGGCGGGGTGGAAGAAAAGCCTGGATGAGACCAGTGGCAGGAGTTCTCTCCCTTACCATTCACCACCCAGGATGCCTGGTATCTCCCCGAATGTCAAAGGTAAATCTTTCTGCAGCACCTTAGTTTCTGCGTAGCCCAGTAACATTTTTGGTTCCTTTGGTGATGAACCTGAACTTGCAAAGTGAGTTATTCGTATTTTATGCGTGGAACACTCACGCCCATAATAGTTAAACGAGTAGTCATAGTTCACTAGAATCAAGTGTCCTTGGATTTTGCGGTGGTCCACTTTTCCACTGTTGCTGAGGGGAGAGACGGGGTGTTCAGTCTCTCTGGCCTGTTAGACCTCATGGAAGGTCCCCTTATGTTGTCACAATGCCTTCACTGGCCTGTTTTTTCTCTCTTGGCCAGTTAGAACATCTTTATTCCAGCACAGTGAATGTGAAACAGATCTGATTGTAAGAACAGCTCTGGGCAAGGCATCCCCAATTACTTAACTTAAAAAACATCCTCAGTAAGTCCAGGTGGAGTTGCTGTCTTTGTCCCATAGACAGATTGGAAAGAGAGGCTTGCTCAAAGTTACGTAGCCAGTAAGTCCTGAGACCGATTTGAACTTGTGTCTGTCACAATAGGGCCTTTAATAGGCCTTTTGTGTCACAAAAGTCAGACACGATTTAGTGACTAAACAAGTATCACAATAGAGTGGTGATACTGCTTAAATTGCACTTCTGAATTTTGTCACAACTCTTCAGTCTCTCTCATCTTACAGTTAATTTCTTCGTAATCATACTCAGGGTTTGTCATGTTTGGTAGTCCTTATGGTACAGTTGGATTTACTTTTGTACCTAAAGTACAAAATATTCTACAAAATATTTCTAAAGTTTGGACTTCAGGCTTCATGTAGTCCCTTTTATCATATGTTTTCTTCCATCAGAAAGCGATAAAGGAGAAGGAGATTCCTATTGAAGGACTGGAGTTCATGGGCCATGGCAAAGAAAAGCCTGAAAGCTCTTCTTGACCTTGACAGTCATCTTGAAAGTGGACTCCTCAAATCAGGAAATTGAGGACTCTGGATTGTGTAAATTAAAACTGAAGACAGAATTGATTTGATGAATTTAGGAGGGAGGAATTTCCTTTCCTCCTTGATATCTCTCATTTGTAAAAAATGATGAATCATCACTCTTTGCTTTGAGATTTCTGGTTTTGGCATCACAGCAGGAACTCAGCATTCTAAATAATGGGATTATTTGGGATTATCATTGCAGTACTCGGTCTGGGATCAGTTTTAAATATATCTTGTATAAAAACTCTAGTAAGCTTGTCAGGATGACTAAGGTTGCCTGATCTCCAGTCATTCTTTGAAGGACATTACGTACACTCTACTGGGTTTATTTGTTCATGGAAGCAACTGGTTAAGATCTATTTTCTCTAAGGGAGCAAATACTCCCTTAGAGGGTTCCCAGAACAACAGTTTCAGTCAATGCTTGGAAGCACAGTTTTATTTTTATATAGTAATTTAACTGTTAAAGATTGTTGGTGGACTGGGTTAACCAAGAGGAAGACAGCTTTCAACAGTTTCCTACCTTAACAAGAGGTGTCAGATTTCATACTAAGATGTGAAAGCTTCATGAATGCTGCAGTGAACACCATTTCAGAGCACTTGGTGTAGTTCAGGAATTAAAATCCTTGGAGTGGCTATGGAGGAAGATCCTAAATTACCAAGATTTGCTGCTGCCAGCTTTCAGCTTAAGTCAATGAATTAAATCAACCTGTATACATAAAAATGCCAAAATGCTGCATATGATTAAATGGGGGTGGGGTGGGTGAAGAGATCACTTTACTTGCCTTGTTTACTCACCCTGCCTGTAATGCCTGAAATCATGAAGATGGAATAAATTTTAACTTTTGGTTTATATTCATTATTTGTTCTTGGAACTCAGTGCATTTTATGGAATGACTTCCATCCTGTGAACCCCACACATCTCATATATACACTGGGGGGAGTTTTACATGCTTTATAATTTAAAATTGAAGATTTATCTAAGCTAGGTAGTATGGTATAACAAATGGAAACCTCACTGATTTCAATGTTTATATAATGGCACCCGACCCAGAAAATTTTGTATGTGCCCACACAGTATGAAACTCGATTTACAGAAAGCCTAGATTCTATTATCTCTTTTCCACTTTACTAATTATTAACTTCATTTTTTTTAATACTAACTTCATATTTAACATGACCAATCCTTAATGCCATTGCAGTACATTCTGCATTTATATTTTGGCAGGCTAAGGTCCATTATACCTAAGATATTTGGAACCCAGCTGAGGGAGGCCAGGCAGCAAACTGGAGTTAAGTATAACTGCCCTGAAATAAGCCTGGCCACAAGTCAGTCAAAACCTTGTAGCCTCTTGAATCTTACCACAAAACTGTCTGGTTAAGCCTTGAGAATAAAACAAATTTTACTGTAATTGCTGCTGAGGGAATAATTTTTTCCTGATTATTCCTCATGCTATTTTTACTTTATCCTGCCCATAAAAGGACGAACTATCTGAAGTACTTCAAAGGTTTTAAATTTTGAAGAGGAAATCTTAATTGCTCTTTAAGAGTGATTTTGTACATGTAAATCCATGGCTAATTAATTTCAATGTATGACAAAAACCACTGCAATGTTGTAAAGTAATTAGCCTCCAACTAATAGGAAAAAAAAAGTGATTTTGTAACTATTATTGATTGTTGTTTCTCCTAATTCTTATGGCTACAGGAAATTTTTAATTCCAGAAACAAACAAAGCCAGTACTATATGCAGGAAGTGTCATAGTGCCATACTGCCTTTATTTCTCCAGAAGTTTATAACCGTTCCAGCCTGAAGGGAGCTGAGAGAGGACCCAAGATATGAACTTGCCACCTCTGGAGAAAACTTTCTGACTTTTGGGAGTATCCTTCAGCAAATGCTAGTATCTTTGCCATCCAAAGTCTGCCAGGACCCAATTTTGACTGTTAATTAGCTCAATTGAGATCTTTGCTTTACTCACCCCAGGCACAAGTAACCAAGACCAGGCCTGTTACAAACACTGTTCTTCTGGAGGCCTGAACTGGACCTGAAACACTGTCAACAGTAGCCACAGACCGTCACTGTACAAACAGAATATTAAAGCTAATTTCTGAGGGAAAAGCACAACCAAAGAATGCAACTCTCAGGTCATGACTACATTATTTATTTAAGCCATCTCCTCCTGCTATAAGCAAAGGGATGGAAGATCAGTATAATGGTCCTCAAGTGTAATGGTCATCACTGGATACAAGGTGGTGAGCTTAAGGTCCCGTGTACTTTTCTGGTCCATGCGTGCAGAGTAGTGGTCCAAACCAGTGCTGTGGTCCCCACTGGGTAGTGGTCCAGGTTCTCTTTATTCGTCTTCATAGCCAGTTGGAAGCGGATTCACATGAGGGTTATGGAATAGGGTATGGTTACCATCTCCCCAGGGAAAGGGCTGTGGAGTGAAGATGGCAATTAGGCAATTCCAGAAAAACAGTTCAGCACTGCCACGAACTGCTTAAACCAGGGCAAGTAACAGGAAATACATAAAAACAAAATGGAAATTAGTCCTTTACATAACTGAGATGTTTCAGTTCTCCCATAATGTAAGAGAGCTCTTATAAATTCCAAGGGAGGCCGTAAAGAGGACAGTAGGAAAGGCAAACTCAAGTCCCCTTACTCATAAGCCTCTCCCTTGTAACTAAACCTCAGTGCTGTGTTTCTGAAAGTGCAGTCCTCCCATCACCTATATCAGAATGGTAGAGGTGGGTATAGGGGAGGAGATGCTGACTTCAATGCAGGTTTCTGGACCTGAAACAAATCTCTGGATTGGAAACTGCAACATACCCTCAATTATTCTGCATGGTACTTTTGAAAACCATTGCTCCAGGGCAGTGGTTTCCAACCCAGGATGATTCTGCCCTTGTGGAGACACAGGCCAGTATCCGGAGACATCTTGAAGAGGGGGTACCACTACCACTAAGTGGTGAGAAGTCAAGGATGCTGCTAATATCCTGTAACTCACAGGACTGCCCCTTGCCCCAACAAGAGTTATCCAGCCCCAAATGTCAATGGTACTGAGGTTAAGACATTTCGCTATATGTATGCCTTCTAACTCTATTGTACAACAGTGGCAGTGGCGCTGAGACTCATCAATTCTTTTTGAATTTAAGAATCCAGCTTAATTTTCCCCTCGGGCTAAGTGAGACAGTAGTTAAATATCTACATCAAGAGTCAAAGAATGACACAGTTGCGGTGGTAACTAGCATAGAGGTGAAGATCAGAAGCTGTCAATCTCTTCATTATGCAGCTAGCAGCTGTTAGATGCCCAGGTTTTAGAGACGTGCACCGCCTTCCGACTCTGCCAGTTTAAGGGAATTTCACAAACCTCCCAAGTTTTGTACAACCGACAACCGTTAACAGTATCAGAAGGTAAACGGTGGGATGACTCAAAGAAACCAAAGGGCACTTGTTGTATGACCTTAAAAAAGAAAACTCAGGCCTGACCGGAGAAAATAAAAATGTGTTTGGGAGGATTAAATGACAAACTGTACACGCCCGGCACCCACAGTTTTAGAGAATTAAGAGCTTGGACTAGGGCATTTGGGGAAAGATGAACAGACACTTGAAGAGACTGCAAGGGGTACCTTGGACCTGATGCGGAGATGCGGGTAGGCCACGAACTCAGGTCTCTCCTCCTCTCCGTGGTGCGACTTCAGGAAGACATTCAGCATGCTCACTCCCACCCCGGGGAGCGCCACAAAGTAGGTGAGGGCCTTCCACATGCGAGCTGCGGAGGGGGTACGACCGCTCAGGGAGCCGCCCGCGTCTCACCTCCCTCCCCCAAGTCCTCAAGCCAAGGTCAAAGTCCCGCCGCTGTTCTCTTCAGCAGACCTGAGGCCCGCCCCGCGACCCCGGTCCCAGTACCTGAGCCCTCTTCGCCGTGGGCGCCACTGGACATAGACCGACTCAGCTGCAGCCGGGAACTACCCAGCAGGCCAGAAACCCGAGATCCAGCTGCCGCGGCCATCTTCAACCTGGGTTCCCCGCAGCGCCGGAAGCGGAAATAGAAAGTTGGCTGGTGGGGTGGGACCACAATCTTAAAAGGAAGTTCCTATTGGGCGGTACCTTTTCCGCGGAGGCTGCGCATTGTAGCCTGAAAGCTCGGAGCTGCGGGAGCCAGAGGGAGCATGCGCTCAGCACTCAGGTGTGCATTATCTGGTTCCTAAGGTCAGCATCGAGGTGAAGTTAAGCGCATGGAAAAAAAGGTTTGTGGAAGGACACCCTGGCATTGAGGGTCGCTCCCTTCGTTGGAATCCGTGCGCATCAACAGAGGTTCCGAGCACAAATCCCCTATCTAAAATGCTTTTTCCTCTCCTCCACATCCTCTGATTCTGCGCTATTTTTTTCCAAGACACCAGGACATAATAATTGTCATCATTATTATCTTGTAGGCATCACACAGGTTATAATCTATCAGAGGAAACAAAAGATTTTGCCACTGCAGCATCCCCAAACTCTGGGATCGTGCCTGGCAAGTAACAGGTGCTCAACACAAATATGTTGAATGAATAAATGAATGAATAGCAACGGGAAACAATTGACATCTCTTATACTTTATCTCTGCAATTCTTTCCTACCCTTCTTTTTTCTTCACCTTCTACTAATCTAAAAACAGTTTTAAAAATAAGAGTTAAGAAATAGATGCCTAAGAGAGACTTCCTTTATGGTCCAGTGGTTAAGACTCCACCCTCCCAATACTGGGGGCTCAGGTGCCATCCCTCCTCAGGGAGCTAGATCTGGCATGTGGCAACTAAGACCCAGAGCAGCCAATTAAAAATAAATAAAATCCTAAAAAAGATACATAAGATAAAATGAAAGTAAACTTCTTGACCATAGGTTCCTTTAAAAATATAATGAAAAAAGAAAAAAAAATATAATGAAACCTCTGAATCCTTTCCTCAAATAAAATATTAATACA